CTCGAAAATGTGAGGCACTGGGTTCGCTCTTCAGTACCACATAAAAATAAATAAATAAATAAAATAAAGATATTGCGTCCATCTACAACTTAAAAAAAAAAAAAAAGAAAACCACATTTCATTCCAAAGTGATCTTGCAGAAACTGCTAATCCTCTCAAATTTATTCCCTTTTTCCACAGGGGGACTTGATCTCATCTTCATGCCAGGTCTTGGGTTTGACAAACATGGCAACCGGCTGGGGAGGGGCAAAGGCTATTATGACACCTACCTGAAGCGCTGTCTGCAGTGTCAGGAAGTGAAACCCTACACCTTGGCCTTGGCTTTCAAAGAGCAGATTTGCCTGCAGGTCCCAGTGGATGAACATGACATGAAGGTAGATGAAGTTCTTTACGAAGACTCTTCACCATCTTAAGACCAGATGACTACAGCCAAATAATCAGTGTTTTGTATCAGAGTTAGGAATATATGTATATTTTTTCCTGTGTAAAAAATTAATTGAAATTTCACATTAAATTGAATATGGACTCGGATAATTTTTAGTGTAAATATGAAATACCTAATATTAAATTGTCTTTTGAAATCAATATAAATGTGAATACTAGAATATTGATTAAAATGGAGGGTATCACCATATGATTTTCAACATAATTTCCTGGTGTTAATGTGACAAGTTAATCTCTCGGTTTTGCAGTTTAAGTTAAATATTTATGAGGAACTGTGTTCTAACTCAGAGTGTGAGAGGAAGGTAAACACATGGTGGGTGGACACTGTATTTCATTTTGGCCTGTCATGGGCCTGGCCAGACATACAGAGACTTGGAGCTTATTAATTGATTTGTCGGTGTTTTAGGTACCAAATTTCCTGATAATATTGTACTAATTCATCATGATTTCATTTACTCACCCTGAAATCTGATGTTTGGCACTTTGTAGTTGTTGGTGGTTAATGTATGAAAATTTTTGATGATTTAAATATTTTCATTTAACTGATTGGTCTCTCTCGCTGTTTTGTGTGTCACTTTAAGATCTGATATAAGTTAGGAATTGTGTCTGTTTGCTCATGGGTTCTGTTTTGGAAAATGAAAGTTGCTGTTAGCTGAAGGTTGGCAGATGGCCTCACAGCTAGACCGTGGTAATTTTGTTGGTGGGGGAGGATTTGGTTATCACCAGAAAACCCAGGAGTCTTCCTGGACTCCACTCTCCTCTCATTTCCCACCTCCTGCCTGTCACCAGCTCCTGTTGATCTTGCCTCCAAAATGCGTCTTACATCTGCTCTCCTCTCCTTTGTCCTGCTGCTGCTTTTGTCCAGCCCCTCAGTATTTCTAAGTGGAATTAGGCAAGCGTCTCATACCTGGCTTCTTTTCCTCCAATGTCTTTCAGAGTGGTATTATAAAACATAAATCTGATCATGAAGCACTTCTGATTGGAGTATTTTGGGGACTCTTCAGAGCCCTCTGGGTTTTGGTGATGTCTTCTATTGTGTACAACATCCCTTAGGAGAGGCTACCACCTTCCTTTTTCTAGTCTCTTGTCTTTACACCCCACATTCTCCTTCTATGCCACATATTGAGCATTACAGGCTGCTTYTGCCCTTTGCACTGAGTGAACCCTTTTGGCTGAAACACTCATTTTGTGCATCTGGACAACTGCTATGCCTCCTCAGGACTGTGCTCCTGCTTTGCCTCTTCTGTGAAGTCTTCCTCTGCTTTCCCAGGCAGGTGTATGTTCCATTCCTTGTTTGAACAACCCTGGCTGTTCATCTTCTTGTTCTCTATAGCACTTATTAGTTTACATACTTCACAGAACTGTGAGTGCCAAAGACTTCATACTTCATAGACAGTGAGACATAGAGTGGGTGTTTGAAAATATTTTTAATGAGTTAATTGAATATATTTAGATGTATTTCACTTAAAACATAGATCCACCATTCTTTGGATTCATGATTCATGATTTGGATTCATTTGTGATTTATTATTTCATGCACAAAAGTAGGAAAAATCCCACAACTTGCTATACAAAATTACATATAAGAGGTTGTGAGGGGAATGGGAAAATAAACAAGGAGAGAAATGAATTACAGTAGATGGGGTAGAGAGAGAAG